ATTTTTTCATTTTTTGGACATGAAAACAATTAAAAGCCACTTTACCTTACTCAGTTCGATGTGCTCTATCCAACCATATATAAATATTTCAAAAAGAAATTTTACTCGAATCTTGAATTGCCGGCACTTTAAGAAGATGCGGTTTGATTTAAATGTGAGTTTAAAAATTATTTATATGCTTTGATCGAATATCGCCTTTACAACACGTGCTACGTTTCGAATAGTGACCCATACTCTTCTGATAGCTTTCCGACAGAAGAAATATGCTAAAAAAGCATTATAGTAAAAAGTTGTATGTGAAGGTTTTTAAAAGATCACTGTGTTATTCCGATTTGGTGAAAGCGATTGTGTGATAATAACAGTGAAGGTTTTTTGCTTATCTTATATTACGGTGTTCTTTGTTTATTTTATTTTCAGTTTTATACTTATCTTTGGGATAACAGTGTTCGAATTCCACTACGACTGCTTTTTCAATTACATAATGATTTTTATGATTTTTATATAACAACATCTAAATGGACATCAGAAATGAAATTAATATTAATTGATTTGGGTTTTATTCATTTACTTATTCATGATAATGTCTTTATTGGTTGTAATCATATATTACAAAGTCAAGAGATGTTTACGTTAAAAGATTATTCTCATCTTATTAAAACAAGTTTTGATCAACAATTACAAAAAAATTCAACAATTCAGTCAAATACAAAAAAACTAAAAATGGATTTTAATGAACTTTATCAAAAATTAATATGTGCCATGAATTCGCCTGAGAAAATGAAATTGTTTTTAGATTATTATCCAGATTGTAACTTAACAGAAATAATTCATGGTACTGAACAAAATTCTTATCGAAATGAAACAATGTTAGATAAACTAATTAGAATGGAAACATTTTTCTACACGTGCGAACAAGATGATATATCAACAACACCCGATTTCACATCAGATTCTATTAAGTATCGTACAGCCAATATATTATATTTGTTTAGTCAAATTATTCAAAAAGGGGGTAAAGTAAGTCACTTTTGTCACCATGAATATATCGTAGAAAGTTGTCGTGCTCCAACTAGTTAACAGAATTGTAATGAATTAATAATTAAATTAGATATCTATACAGTTTCCAAGACTGACTTTGTATCAGGCAGTTTAAGATACATTGCAAAAGAGTTAATAGTTTAGTAACTTCACTACTAAAAACTGAATAATTTTGAAAGCTGTTAGCTATTTTTCTCGCCTTCTAACTAATAATACAACAAAAAATATTTAAAGGAAGAGTCAAAATGATAAATTAAGTATCTGTATTGTAACAGCGTACGAAAATCCTATCACATTACTATTGACAATTTAATTTTGTTTTTTTCCATTTATTTAGTTTTCTATTTCAATTGATAGCAATCATTACATGAATCTCAGAAATCCGTTTTTTTTAACAACAATTGGTTATTATATGTTGGCTATTTTACGTTATCGTGATGTTATGACCATTGTTTTACCAGAAGAACAAGAAGGGGAAAAAATAAGTCCACTTTATTTGGATAACTGTGCTGAAACCTATATGGAATATTTATTACAACAAACATCTAGATTCAATGATCAATTTAAGATATTTTTTCTTAAACATATTCATTTGACATATGAACCACTTCATTCAAAAAATTTTATTGAACAAGCACGTTTAAAAACAAATTTAAAATTAAATCAATTGTATGATCAATTATTACAAAAAAATGTTTTATCATTAAAAGAACGTTGTCGACTTCTTATTAAACAAAATATTGACTTCTATCCAAATAATTTAAAAAAATTACCGATTACATCAACATTAATTGATTTTTGTTCATATGATTTATTTAATAAAAATTTTGTTCAATTAACAATAAATAAATTAAAAAATGAAAAAGCAAGAATTAAACCGTTACATTTTGATGCTCATCAATTTCAAGAATATTTTCCACATCTTCAAAATCTTAGTGATGATGAATATGATGACAATTCACAATCAACAAATAGTGATGATATTGATGATTATTTATATGCTGCTGCAAATGAAGATGAAGTAGATAATTTTGATTATGAATATTATGGAGATATTGACAATTATTATGATGCATACTATGATCATTATAATTCTGATGAAGATGATATTTGAATAAAGAGTCTATAGTTTTGCTTTTAAGTATTAGCATTTGTAAATAGGGTTTGTGATCTATTTTTTTTTTCAAGTTTTTAAAACAAAAAATAAAACTAGATTTCTAGCTATTGTATGATATAAACAAAACTGGTAGAGATAAACTGATAATTGTCTGATATCATTTTTAGATTTTTCTTATTGTACAGACGTATGCGTGTTAAATGTTGTTGACATAATGAAAGATTTTTTGTTGTTAGTTGTGTTTTTTTGATGAGATTGTTAAGTTTGTATTATAAATGTGAATCTTGTTAAGATTTTTCTATAAGCATAGAGATTATCCACCAAGGTGATACAGATTGCTATGTTAGTTTTTTTTGTTTTGTTTTGTTTGAAAGTTTATATCTTGTCATACTGATTATTATTATATTATTCTAACAAACAAATTATGACCGTATAGAAACAAGTATTACATTTCCCATTAATATAAAGGATTACAGGCATTTGATGCTATTACAAGCTGATGTTATTAAGTAATTTAATTATTCAGCTTCTGAACATTAAGTCTAAGTTCAGAATAATAGATTTATGACGATGTTTTCAGGTAATGAAAGAAAGTAAAGTGACAAATCAAAAGCTACTATGCATTTCAAATTGCCGCATGGTTGATGATTTATATCTTATCAGTGTTTAGAATTGCCACAAGTTAATAGATGCTTGCTGCAAGGCTTTCAGGAAATTTGCTGCCAAGCCTGAACTATTGAAAATTAAACTCTTTCTTGACTACGCTGTAGAACAGGACACTTTGGACTATCTACTCTAAAAGAATGGTTTCCATCGCTACGTTAAAGATTTCGTCGATCATTTCTAAATTTCTAATGGTTTGTTTCGTGATTCTTCACAAGAATAAACGTTAAAGTAAATCGTTGTACATAAAAACAAAGCAATTTTAATTATCCATAAACTCGATATTGAAAAGTTGGGCTTTGTGAAATGTCAAGTCACATGTGTTTGCTTCATTTTGAAACCGATTCGAGGTCTCCATCATTTTTCTAGGAAAAAAATTTTGAAAATAAGAACCATATTTGGATATGATTAATATTCTCTAAAAAGTTTGGTCAAGGTTCGACATACGGCTACCAAGATAGATTCTAGCTGGTGGCTTCAACTCATGTGCTGCATTAGAAGTGTTTTTATGGGAAAAGGTAGTTTTTTTGTAAATGGTCACCTCTGTTCGCATGAAGTTTGAAAAGACCACCCATTTATCTTATTTTGGTATATTCTAATCCTTATTATACATATGCTAAATTTTTTGGCTATACTATGTGAATACAGATAATTAGTTGCCAACGTGATAGTGAAAGTAGACGATAAGTTCCTTACATCTACAGTTTATCTTTTGTTAAATAATGCAAGATGTTTCTTGTACAATCAAACATATTCCTGGTGTTATTGATTATTTAAATCGTACGTATCCTCGTCGATATTACTACAAATATTTATGGAATTATGATGAAGAAGGGGCACAAAAAATTAGAAATGAAATGAAATTAATAAAAGACAAGCGCAAAAATGTTACCAATGTGTGTGAGATAAGTGGTGTACAAGAGGTAACTAAATTTCTTCTATTCTACACAAAGATTAACTCTTATTAACTGGGTAATAGCTGATTACATCATTTTGTGCGAGTAACTATGCTTTCGATTCATTCTTATCTATCACGACGCAAATTATTTTCAATACTAATTTTATGACGAACAAATCTTTTTGTTTTTCTTAGTATTTAAACAGAATGAAACGAAATCAATATGATTCTAATAAAACTGGTTCCCGGCGAAAAAATTTAGGTGTTCGAAAGTATAATGCAGACAAATATGGTAACACAAAAACTAACTTTTACAAAAAAGAGCTTGAATTTGAAAGTGGTGATGAAATAGAGTTCGACAAAGTCGGAATCCAATCTAGAAGATCACCAACACTGCTTGATCTATCGCAATCGTCTAGTGTTAGTGACAATATCTCTACGAGAAACGATAAAATTAAATATTATCATTGTGGCTATAATAGCGGTAATTATAGTTCACGCACTCATACAACAGGAATATATAGTACTCTAACAACTTATTCACATTATACCTATCTATCGGATACGGACATGGATCTAAACAATCAATTGTTGATCAAAGATCGAAGAGTAAAACTTATGAATGATTGATGTGAATGAGAAAAGTCTCATTTAGTAACGGTATAGTGAATATTTTTATGTTGGCGTTATGGTTAAGACTAGCTAACCTTATTGAAGAAATTAGCCATGCAGTAAATAATTAATTGATTTAGTGTGTTTTGACTGCATTGAAGGAACATCTCGACCATAAAAAAGAGATGACATTTTTAAGATACTTCTTAGTGTTTACTCCGAAACTAACTGTAGTTTACTCTCACTTTGTAGAAGTGCTGTTACTCTATTCTTATTTTATTTTCATTTCAGAGCATTGATTTCCATTTTTAATAATTATTGAGCAGAAAAAAGAAAAAAATTTCCAAATTTAGTCCGGATTTTTCAAAAATTTTTCTCGCCTTTTATTCAGATATTGCTGTTTTCCTCTTCTGCTAGTTTTAATAAATAATCTTGAAGTTGTTTATAATCGACTAGAACTGTTTTTTTACACATCTCACCTATAATAATCGACAAATCTGTAATAAATTACAACGAACTGAAACAAAAGTTTAATCCTCTTCGATCTTTAACTATCCATACGATTATCATGACGCTTATTTATCAGATAATCATTAATCATGGATATTAACATGACAATAATTATTATTATTTATCGTTAATTGTTGTTGTTTTGTTTTACCTCGATGAATTTATAACTAATTTTGGCATGATGATGTAAAAATGATAATATTTGAAAAAAACAAAATTATTCGTTATTAGTATGACAAATTTATATCTATGTAAGCCAAATATAATGTGAGTTATATAAAACGTTTCGATATATTGTCAATAAAACAATACACTATTTCTTGATAGACTAACATAATTCAATTCAACAAATGAGCATTTACAATCGAATATATGCATTTATTATGTTGTCATTCAGACAGATTTATGCAGCGTCAATGATTTTTATGATGCATAACTACGCCAAAGCAAACCGACCACAACCAACAATAATAATTCTAAGTAAAATAAAAAAACACTATTTCAATGTCAACAATATGTATAAATCATAACAAAAATGAGAGTTTGTTCGAGCTCAAGATATTGATTGACACCCTCACAAAATAATCATCGATGTTACTAAAAATAAATATCTTCAAAAAGCGTAGTGTATACTATGTTAAAAATTTTCCATTGTGTACTATAATTTAACATAATTTTCAAAGATTCGATCATAATTCTTGATATCAAATTATGAAATTATGATCACCTTGATTTTCTAAATTTTGAGTGTTCAGCCATTCTCTCTTTTTTCCACCGCCTATTAGAAATGTTGCAGTCGGAAATTGAGAGATATGTTCTATCATGAAAAATTATAGATATGATGGATAATACCATTCGTAAAAGAGAAGTGTTTTGATAGAAAATTGAATTTTTGTGTTATTAAAATGTTAAAAACAATTCTTACAGTTTTTAGCAGTTATAGTTAATTGACAAAAATCTTTAACTAGTGTATGCCTAAAGTCAGAGAAGCATGAGCAATACACACAAGATTTAACGAGTCATTGCATTCTTTCGCACTTCGCTTTCCATGACAAACGTATATTTTTTTAAGAGAAAGAATAAAAAAAATAGTGTTGTATACACCACTTTGATTGAATTTGCGCGCATTTTTTCTGAGTGTACGTACACTGCATTATTTGTGACAATTATCGTTTTCACATTCTTTACTTTGTCTCGTACAATCAAAGGATTCATTTTTAAATGTAATACATAGTTTTGGTAAGAAAAGTCAAATACAAAATATTTAGAGATGAAAGTAAAAATGTGATTAGAGAATAATTGTCAAATTTGGTGTAATAAGTTGTTCAACAAAATATGTATAGTTTAGTCTATTGTTCAAATGTCGGCATCTCATAAAATAATACAAAAATATGATATCTTCGGGCATTTAAAACACAGCATCTTCTTTCTTTCATATGACAGATTTACAATTTCTTATTTTTTGATTGATAAAAAGCATCTACCATGAAAGATTTCGATATATCAGACTTACAGAATAATAAATGACATAAAATTTTCTCGTTTAAAACTTAATGACCTTCGATTAGGATTTTTTTTGCAGGTATGTTCTGAGATATACGAAACAATTGCCATATCCTAATCTACAACATTCATTAAGAAAGAAAAGAAGAAAAAAGAAAATAATTTCAGGGTACACGCTCTTGTATGTATACTTGCATTTGGTAGCTATGTAATGTGTATGCGTCTAATATAATCTTCTCCAGTGAGGTGTCTTGTTTATATACATAGAATATCATCTTTTCCTTTTTTTTCTGTTGGTACTCATAACGCATGTTTTTCTTCTCTCTCTCTCTCTCTCTCTCTCTCTTTTTCTCTTTTTCTCTTATCTACACATTAACGCTATAAAATCAGTTGACGCAGAGTGAGAACGTGTACGCAATTAAAAGAAGAACTAACAGTTTTTATTAATCTATTATAATCAATCGGGTTTTCATTTCTAAATTATATTTAATTATTTTTTATCGGTAGATGATAAATATTTTTGTATTTTTTGTCTAAATCGTGAATAAAAACATTCACCAAACGAATATGAGTGAAAATGTGGATTAACATTGTAATGTTAAACAGTTTGTTGTTACAATTTAACTTTTGAATGAAACATTCCTAAAGATTTAAAAAGAAACATCTGAAGATTCATCAAGCTTACTGAACAAGGTCGTCTTTAGAAAAAAGCCATTTTCTCTAGCAATATTACTATTATTTGTACTATTCAATATACGAATAATCAATAATGATCTACCACCTTTGGTGATTAATAGACGGGTAAGTGATG